TCAAAGCTGACTAAAAGTGATCGAGGATCTTTTCGACAAACTTGATGAACCTGTGATATCTTCAGGCGAAAAAGCAAAATAAAAGCTGAAAGGTTTTCACGGAAGCTTGCAAAAGCAGCGCATTACAATGATGAGAACAATCACATCCATACAGTTTATGATCACAACAACAACAACGTTTGTCAGGCATCTACATTGTCATCTGAGGAGATTACAAAGATGAAACGAGTGTTTTTTTAAACTCTAAAACATGAAATGTGGAGTTATCTGCTTTTGCCAAAAAACGACTGTTGGAGTTATCTGCTTTTGCTATAAAACAAACTTTTAATATGTAAAAAAAAACATACTTTCTATGAACTTTAATTTTGTAAATTACCTGTATTTGTTTGTTATTATTACTTAATCAAAACAACCCAACTGCAGTTTGATTGATATTACTTGGAATGCGCAATAAAAAAAACGGGATTTCTGAGTTACCGGTTTTTGCAAATGAACTCTTCATATATTTGATGATAATAATTACACATTTTATTTATAGAGCACTTTTCAAGGTGCTCAGATGCTTATTTTAGCTGCTGTATTCTTTATCTATATAAAAACTCTTAAGAGTTTGAAGCCGAAAGCAGTTAAGATACGATAATATGCTTATAACACATTAATATATTCCTCTTAGATGGGTTTCGGAAAGTTGTCCACATCGAGCAGGGTGGGCTGGTAAAACCAGAGAAAGACGACACAGAATTCCAGCATCCATATTTCATCCGCGGACAGGAGCATCTGCTGGAGAATATCAAGAGGAAAGTCACAACGGTAGGTAGAAACTCATCTTCCTGATGACCCGCCTTTGCTGAAACATCTGCGAATATATGAGCAGGGTTTTGAATGATGTCCAGGTTTTTATAATTAGTTGGTATTTTCAGAGGGGCTTTTTTGATCCAAAGCAGCTTTACGGTCAGGCTGAAGTTCATTTAGGACACAGTCGTGATGTCAGACCACTAATGCGGACTGAATTGATCTGGGTTTTTGGGGGATTCCCTGCTGTTCATGTTTGGCTTTGAAACCTGCAGAGTTTCACTTATAAATGAGCCAGAGTTACATTTTCTCACAGGGAAAAACATAATAAAGTGGGATTATAAATGAACTTTTCTTACTGGACTGGTCCAGCATTATGTGTAGTTTCTAATGTAAGGGTGAAACTAGCAGTGAAGGCTTTCTATTGCTGTGTTTTTTCTGTTATATACACTTGATGGACTTGACTGATATATTAGCATTTTCTCGTTTTAATGAGTATGTTCTTGGACAAAGGTTTTCAAACTAGGGTCCAGAAATATTTGACTAAATATTTAAAATGTATTTTTACCATCTTTCAACATATTTAATTAATATTTTATGCAACACATTTTCTTTTCACATTTACTAAATTTTATGTTATGTATTATTCTGCTAAAAAATGGTCAGAAATCATTGGATTAATTATAAATCAGTTTATTTTATTCTACTTACAGCCCTAGTGTGTAACAGTCAGAAATAAAACACAAATCTGCATATAGATTTATAATTCTAATATCAAATAATATGTCAATCCATAATATGACTTGTTTTTGTATCATCACAATTACTAAATGTTTCATACAATATAAATATGTGTTTGTGCATGAAACTATGTAGCTGCTTTTGTAAGGGGATCATTGTTTTTTGGAGCCTTTGAAATTAAAACGTTTGAGGGGGAAAAAAAAAAAAAA